ATTGAGAATACATAACATTGAGGATACCATTCATACACAATCAATTGCTATGCTAAAGGGAATGAGCATTTATAATTTCAATTGCCTTCCACAAAGGTTGTACCAATTTACGTTCCTACTAGCAATGTATTAAGAGTGCCTATTTCCCCATGATCTCAGCAAAACAAGTGCGTTCTCAAACTTGTGGATGTTTACTAATCTGGTAGGTTACTATAGTGTGCGCTTTAAAAATAAACTTTATTTTTTTTTAACAGTTTTAGGTTTACAGAAAAGTTGCACAGTACAGAGTTCTATATACCTCCACTCAGTTTCCCTTAATGTTATCATCTTAACATAACTGGTATATTTGTCACAATTCATGAACCTTATCATTAACTAAAGTGCAAGTTTATTCATATTTCCTTTTTTACCTAGGGCCCTTTTTCTGATCCAGGATACCACATTGCATTTAATCATCACCATGTCTCTTTTGATTCGTTTGGCTGGGACAGTTTCTCAGACTTTTCATGTATTTCATTAACTTGACAGCTTTGAGGATTACAAGTCAGTTGTTTCATCGTCAGTGTACTCTGAAATTTCCATCTTGTAAGTGAGATCAAACATCTTTTTTTTTCATATACTTAAGAACACTAGTATTTCCATTTCTGGAAACTAAGAGCCCATGCTCTTAACCAGTATGCTGTATCCCTTTCTTGATTCACAATAATTAAAACGTTCACAAGCCTGAATACATATGGATTTCTGATTCTCCAGAAGTACATGTCTTTTAAGCCTCTGTTACAGATAGAGGAGAACCATTAGCGCAAGAGATGTCAAACTTGTGTCTGATCATTGTGGTTACACAGGACGGACCAGAGGCTCCACTGGAAACAGCAGGTAGGCCAGATAATAAGTCCTTGGAAGCAGAAGCGGGCTAGTAAGGACACATTTGAGGGAAATTGGGGGCGCCAGGATTTAGTGATACCGAATGAGAGGGTCAAGAAGTCAAAGATTACTCCTAAGTTTATGAGCTGGATATTTTGGGTGTTGCCTTTAACCTCCAAACAATTTAAGAGAAATATTTGAACAATTTACAACATACCAGTTACTCAATACGTTACGTACTTTCTCTTTCCCTTTCTTTAGCTCTGCGCTACTACAATTCCCAGAGCCCCGCACTCCACCACAATCCCCTCAGAGTTGACTGCACAGAATTCTGGGACTTGAAGTCCGAGGCCTGTTTATCCAAGTTAGAGAAAAGGGCCTGTGGAAACATGAAGAGGTAAGGGCTTGTCTGAGCAGGCGGCGAAGGGAACTCTGTTTTACCTTTTAACTTAAAATGGCTTTTATTACTTTGTGTGTGGGGTATGTCACGTTCTCGGGATGCGGTTTCGTGTGAGAGGGAAGACAAAAGAGGGAGCAGAGGAGACGGGCTAGGCAGGCCTCCTGGGCGAAGTTCAGGAAGGGCCGCCGCCGCTGCCGGTTCCCACAGAAATGCCCTTTCAGCCCAGGCATCTAAGCCCCGGCGCGGGTCCCCTGGAGCCGGACACACGCTGTGGCTTCTTCCTATTGCAGATGGACCCACCCAGGTGCAAGAGTCTTGGCCGACTAATGCCTCGTGCCAGAGAAACCCAGGCCAGCTCCTCCCAATACCTCCAGCTCCTCCTGTCCTCAGAAAGGGGACCTGGGTAGGCGCCTTTATTTGCAGGGTTTGTGTATTAAAGAAAACGCGGGCATGTAACGTTTTCAAATCTTAAAGTAAGTCATACTTTGATACTTTGTTTCTACAAATTTAGAAGGCAAAACCGATTCAATGTCATAGGAAAAGAAAGGCACTTGGTGCGAGCAGTTCCCCCTACTGGTTCTGCAGGAAATGGCAGCTTTAACTTGGCTGGTCATTGTTGAAAGCCTGAGCTTCCCAATTAGTCCACAAGCCTTTTCTAAGGATTCTCAAATTAGTTTTGTATCCACTCTGCAAATAGAATAATCGCTCTGGAATAGGGCTGTATATTTACAATTCTTACTGATACTATGCTGTCCTGCACTGTCAGTTTCTGTATCTTTTAAGAAACTGGTTCTGATTTTCCCTGCCTCAAAATGACTTTAAAAAAATGTTTCTAGTGATATGTCTCATACATGCAAAATAATGTATATATAAAGTTTAAAGAATAATAATAGACTCATACCCACTACAAGCTTTAGACCTGGAACATTACTAGTACCTTAGAAGTCCCCAGTGTCCCTCCCAGATTACTTCTCCTCTCTCCCTCCTCAGGGGACCATTATTCAGAATTTTGTGCTTATCATATTCCATGTGCTTATCATTCCCTTTCTTTAAAAAAAATAGTTTTATGACTTATGATTTTATCCCTAAACAAAATATTGCTTGTTTTATCCATTTTTCAACTTTACATAGATGGACACATATTGTATACATTTTTATGTGACTTGCTTTTTTTACTCAACATTTCTTTTTGAGTATTTAGCTATGGTTTACTCATTTCAAAGCCACTTTAAACTTAGCAAAAACTTTATGAATTCTAAATAATAAATAAAAATTAGGATACTTAAAAGGGATTTTTAAAACCCTGGGCCTAAGGATATTTTAACAAATGGGACTTATACCTATTTCCCAAAATAGGCATAAGTCTTTCTAGAGCATGAGAATCTTGCTTATAATTATGAGGGATACTTTTCCTAGGTCCCAATAATAAAGGACTATTTTATAAGGTATTTTAATATTTATTTTCCTCATGGAGTTAGCTCAATTTTTTTGTTGTTTTTTTGTCTTTTATATAATCTGTTGTTGCCTAAAATAATTCTGCTATTTCTTTATACTCTGATGTTTTAAGTTATTTATGGTTAGTTGGCTCATGTTAGCATTACCTAGATTTCTATACAGTAGTGCCTAGGCCAGTGATGGCGAACCTATGACACGCGTGTCAGAGGTGACACGCGAACTCATTTTTTTGGTTGATTTTTCTTTGTTAAATGGCATTTAAATATATAAAATAAATATCAAAAATGTAAATTTTTGTTTTACTATGGTTGCAAATGTCAAAAAATTTCTATATGTGACACGGCACCAGAGTTAAGTTAGGGTTTTTCAAAATGCTGACACGCCAAGCTCAAAAGGTTCGCCATCACTGGCCTAGGCTATATAATGTTATGATCCCTTTCACATTTGTTTCTATGCTTTTTCCTTTGGAGATCTCCTTTTCATAGCTCCAGATTCTGACACTACAGATGACTTGATATTTCCATGTTCAGCCTGATACTTACCTGTGCAATATTTCTCCCGTATCTCACTTTCCTTTTAGCCAATATCATTTATACTGTCACCTCAGACTCAATATGTCTTTGAATATTCCTGGTGTTTCCATTATAATAGGTAGTTGACCTAACATGGCTAAAACAATACTGATGTTCCCTTTTCCCAAACTATTTCACCTGGAGCTTCCTCTTTCCTTCATTGGTACCATTGTTCTCTCAGTTTGAAATTTGGAGGTTATCTTTTACTTATCTTTTACCCTATTTTCAAAAGGCCTCTCTCATCTAACTCTTCATTTCTGTCCCCTGTTACCACTTCACTTTGGACTTTTGTCCTCTTATCCTTGATAAGTTTTCCAGCTAGTTCTTTTGGTTTCTTTCCTACTAATCCATAAGGCATATTATAACCACATTCTTTTTCCTAAACCATCACTTGTACCATGCCACTTAACTGCCTAATAAATTACTTTCTAATACCTATACATTAAGATCCAGGCCCCTTAATTGGTGTATTTAAGGCCACACAAAATCTGAGTCTAATTACCCCTCCAAGATTATCCCCCAGTTAGCCCATACTTGAATGTCAGCTAAATTGAACTTCTTGTTAACCCCCAGAACATCTCATACTTGCTGTCCCTCTTCTTCCTTTCATCATACCCAGTCCTTTAAATGCCAGTTTAAGAAGTCTTCATTTTACCCTCCTAATTCCCAGTTATTTCTTTCTTCTGTGAACTCCTACTAATTTGGCATATGCTTCTTTGTATTGTCATTCTCCTCTCCCCTCCCTTACTTTCCCCTCCTTGCCAGACACATGTACACAATACATACACACCTATATATTTCCTCTCCCTAAATAAATTGCAAACTCCTTGAGGATAGAGACTATGTTTAAATACCTTTGACTCCATCAGTGCCTTACAATGTTTTGTGTGTAAGTAGGTATTTAATAAATGTTTATGGAATGACTATAAAGTGCAAAGGATTGTTAGAGAAGGGTCTTTGAACAAATGGGGTCACCAAAGGTAGATAATATAGGTAAAGAATCTGTTCTCTGTATGTGTCCCTATATCTACTCCAGGGTAAACAGCTGTGTGAAGAGTGATGATCATGTCCTGGAAGAGTTAGAAACAGAAGGGGAGAGGCAGCTGAAAAGCCTCCTTCAGCATCAACTTGACACCTCTGTCTCCATTGAGGAGTAAGTATTGATTTTGCAAACAGGTAAAGTATCATAGACCTTCACCTCCAGGTGACCCCTTTTAAAGCCTGGATGCAACACTCCTCTCCCACCCCCTGTTCCTTGGCAAACTTCTACGTATTAGGCAGGGTTTTGCTTCTATGTCTTTTCCTCTGCAGATCCTCCCATATTCTACTACATATATGCTAAGTATCTTTCCTATGTCTTCCCTTAACATACATAGCACTTACAACCCAATATTATCATTGCCTGTTTACTTGCCTCTCCTTCTACTGTTATTCCACAAAAGCAGAAACCATTTTTATCTTTTAAACTGTTAAATCCTCAATACCCAGCATAGTGTCTGATGTATAGTAAATACTCAATAATCAAATATTTGATTCAGTCATTTATTAGTCCTGGATGAGGGGACTATTGGTGGAGTTCCATATTGTTAACAGTGGCACTTCAGCCTAGAAATAGGATATGAGAGAGAAATTGCCGATGAGTTTCATTGTGCCTCTTTTAATGGTGAGCCCTATTTCTGTGAATTGTAATTTGAAGATGTTCTTACTCTCTTCATTCTTGGTTTGCAGATGTGTGTCTAAGAAAGAGAGTTTTGCTCCTGGTACTATGTATAAGCCCTTTGGGAAGGAAGCAGCCGGAACTATGACTTTGTCCCAGTTTCAAACATTGCATGAGAAGGACCAGGAAACTGCTGCTCTCAGGGAACTAGGGCTCAATGAAACAGAAATCTTGATCTGGAAGAGCCATGTTTCAGGTGAAAAGGTGAGTGGGGCAATTTTTTTCTGGAAAGTGCAGAGCAATATCTCTTCATTTGGCACTGAGAACCTTTTTATTTTTAATTCTCACAAAACTAAGCTTTGTGTCTGAATCTTCTTTGATTCCTAGGACAGGGACCTTGGGAAAAGAGAAACTATCCCTTGACTGATTAGCTACCGTATCTATAAATACTCATTCTGGGCCTTGATCATCATTGCTCTTACTTTAAGTATCAGACCATCCCTTTAAGGGTATGTCCTCTATGATATATGCCCTCTCATTTCTCTGATTTCAGAGGACGAGACTGAGGGCAACCCCTGAAGCAATACAGAACTGCCTTCAAGATATTGAAGAAAGGATCTCAGAGCGTCAGCGCATCCTTTGCCTGCCACAGAGATTTTCTAAAAGCAAACAGCTGACCCGGCGAGAAATGGAAATAGAAAAATCTTTATTTCAGGGTGCTGATCGTCACTCCTTCCTTAAAGCTCTTTACTACCAAGGTATGTGATCACCACTAACTTCGATGTGTTCTTTCACTAAGAGAGAGAGATTTACCATTAGTGCATTAAATATGAAGAGTTAGCGAAGTGGGTAGGGGAAAGACAAACTTTCACTACTCTTGAGGAATGTGTGAGAGACAAAAATATGTTCAGAGTTAGCTGCAGTTCAATTGCTATTTGTAGACATGTGAAGAAAATGCTGAGGGAGCACAGAACATAGAGCCTCAAGTCTAGTTGGGGGAGTCAGGAGTTGACATTTCTAAGTCCTGATGGGTTAACAGAGATTTGTCAGGTTAACAAGATGCAGAGGACATTACAGATAATAGGTGAATAGGAACAGGATTGTGAAAGGACCTGGGAACAATGAAAAGGTCAGTGTGGCAGGCAGTATAGGACTTGGCAGTGAATTAATTATAGGAGATGACACTAGAAAGATAGGTGAGGCTAGATTGTAAAAGTTTTTAGACTGAACTATAAATTAGCACAAAATCTATAGAGAAATGGTCTGTGTCTTAACCAGAAAGAATGAGTGTAACAGATATGTTTTGCTAGGCACTGTGTAAGGTGCACAGAAGTTTAAGAAATGGTTCCCAACATTAAGCCAGTTACAGTCTGGTTTGAGAGAAACAGGACATTTTACTAACAATGCTAGATACAGTTGTTAAGTGCTGTAGGAGTTCAGAGGAGGAAAAGACTCCTGTGCATTGGCATGACTAAAGAAGTCCTCTTGGAGGTAGGTTTAAATGTTCTTTTAATGCTATATTCTTTAGGGTGGAGAGGGAAAGGCATCACAGCAGATGTTGTGAGCACTATGGTGTGTTCGGGGATGTTGTGAGAGACAAGGTAGCTAAAATTTTTGACCTTTCTGTGGTAGACAGTATAGACCTATACAGAGTTAGTTATTCAGTTAGTTAGTTTGGATATGGTTAAAGGTTTTTGAACCAGGAGTAACATGAGAAAAGCAGTATTTGAAAATAATTAATCTGGTGACCAAGAAATACAGGGTGGAGCAAAAGTAGATTTATATGGAAAATAATACAATACTTAATAAATAATAATACAAGAATAAACTGTTTTACATATTCACAACTGTAGACCTACTTTTGCCCCATCCTGTATGATGAGAGAGAGAAAGAGATGGAAGCAGAGGAAATGATTTAAGAAGTAATACAGTCCTTAGGCATGAAGATATGGACTAGAATGATGGCAGTGGAATTAGAAAGAGGTAGATATGATTGTAAGAGACATTACAAAGTAAGAATTGGTAAAACTTGTTGACTGAGGCTGAAGGAGGACAGTCAATAAAGAAGAATGTGTCAAAGGTAATCCAGGTGTTTCAAGGCTGTGTGACTTAATTGTCAAAATTAAGAAAGCTTTTATGGGGAAATTTTGAGGAAAATAATGAGTTTGATTTTGAACATGTTGAATTAGTGCGAATGGCAGGTTCATTAAATGCAGATATTGAGGAGGCAGTTAGAAATGCAACAATGAAGCTCAAGGGAGAGGACAGAACTAGATCTATAGAATTGGGAATCATCTATGCTTAGATCAGAAGTAAAGCCATGAGAATGAATGAATGATTTGTTAGATACCATAGACATGGAAGAGCAGTGGTGAAGGAAGGAAAAAAACAACAAATGAATAGCCTTTTGTAGAGAGGCATTAATACGAACTGATTAAGGACATGGGTTCTGGAGGCAGATTCCTGGAGGCAGATTCCTGGGAAAATTCTGGTGCCCCACTTAATTCTGGTGCTTTAAGATTTTGGGCAAGTTACCACTCTGTGCTTCAGTTCCTTTGTAAAGTGACAATATTAATAGTAGCTATATAGTAGGATTGTTCAGAAGGTTGAGGTAATATATGTGAATCAGAGCAGTGCCTGGTATTTGGGGGTGGGTGGGTAGTATATGAATCTGTTTTTCCTATCTTTGAAACTCCTTACTTTAAACCTTCACAGCATACCACAAAAAGACAAGTGCAGACAAGTACATGACCTCAATGAAGAGGAAGATAAAATTAGGCACAAAAGGCAAGTTGAGAGTTTTCTTACAGTGTTAGATTTAGGAATGTAACCTAGGGTCCCAGACTTCTAAGTTGAGTGCTTATTTAATTCCTTATCCAGTATATGACAATGTTTATAGGAAATTATCCAGAGGTAGCATATTATTCTGATATAGAATATTAAAGAGAGGAGCTAGAAGAAGTTGTAAAGTTTTTACATTTAGTGTTGTTGAGTTTTTTTCTCTATACCTTTAAGTTATCGTACTAGACATAAAACAACCTTAATAATTTTTACATCTTATTTCACAAGTAATTCTGAATATTTTTATTATTCAGTAAAGTATAAATATTGATGATGATGATGATGATGATGATGATATAATAGCTAATATTTTCTTTTATTTTTTAAATGAACTTACAATGATTTTTGGGGGGTGGACAATTCTGTGAATTGTAAAGCATGTAAATCATGTAGATTCATGTAATCACCACCACAGTCAGGATAAAGAACAGCTTCATCACCCTAAAACTTCTTCATACTGTCCATTGGTAGTCACCCCCAACTCCACCCATAATCTCTGGCAATCACTGATCTGTTTTCCATCACTGTAGTTTTGTCTTTTATAGAATGTCATACAAATGGAATCACAAGATATGTAATCTTTTGAGAGTAGCTTCTTTCATTCAGTGTAATGCCTTTGAAATTCATGCAAGTTGTGTGTATCAATAGTTCATTCATTTTGCTGAGTAGTGTTCCATTGTATGGATGTTCCAAAATTTGTTTATTCATTCAGCCATTGAAGTGTATTTGAGCTGTTTTCAGGTTATGGTGATTATGAATAATACTGATATGAACATTCTTGTACAGGTTTTTGTGTGAACATAAAATTTTTATTTCTCCAAGGTAAAATATCTAGGAGTGGGATTACTGGGTCATATGGTAAGTGTTTGTTTAACTTTATAAGAACCTGCCAAACCATTTTCCAGAGTGGCTGAATCATTTTGCATTCCCACCAGCAATGTATGAGAGTTCCAGTTGCTCTGCATCTTTGTCAGCATTTGGTATTGTCGGTACTTATTTTAGTTATTCTATTAGCTGTGAAGTGGTATCTCATTGTAGTTTTAATTTGCATTTCCTTGGTGGCTAATGATGTTGAACATCTTTTCATATGCTTATTTGCCATCCTTATATCCTGTTTGCTGATGTGTCTGTTCAAATCTTTGGCTGTTTTTAATTCGGTTATTTATTTTCTTCCTGATGACTTGTGAGAGTTCCTTATATATTTTAAACACAATTCTTTGTTGGATATCTGCTTTGCAAATATTTTATCCCAATATGTAGTATGTCTTTTGATTCTTTTAACACTATCTTCTGTAGAACAAAATTTTTATTATGGTAAAATATACCTTACTAAAATGGACTGTTTTAACCATTTTTTTAAGTGTTCAGTTCTGTGGCATTAAGTATATTCACATTGTTGTGCAACCATCACCACTGTCCATCTACACAACTTTTTCATCTTATCAAACTGAAACTGTGTACCCATTAAACACTAACTCCCCTTTCTCCCCTCTCCTCAGCCCCTGGCAACCACTGTTCTTTCTGTCTCTATGAATTGACTACACTAGGTACCTCATGTAAGTGGGATTATACAGTATTTGTCCTTTTTTCACTTTGCATAATGTCCTCAAGGTTATTCATGTTGTAGCATATGTCAGAATTTCCTTTTTTTAAGGCTGAATAATAATCCATTGTATGGATACACCATGTTTTTTTAATCCATTCATCTGTCAGTAGACACTTATTTTGCTTCTACCTTCTGACAATTGTGAATAATGCTGCTATGAACCTGGATGTATAAGTATCTGTTGAAGTCACTGCTCTCCATTCTTTTGAGTAAATACCCAGAAGTAGAATTGCTGGATCAAATGGTAATTCTGTGTTTATTTAATCTTTTGAGTAATCACCACTGGTTTCCATAGAGGCTATATCATTTTACCTTCCCACCAGCAATGTACAAGGATTCCAGTTTCTCTATACCCTCACCAACACTTACTTTCTTTTATTTATTTTTTTAGACTAGCCATCCTAATGTGTGTGAAGTGGTATTTCCTTATAGTTTTTTAAAAATGTAGTTTTATTGATTTCAGAGAGGAAAGGAGAGGGAGAGAAAGATAGAAACATCAATGATGAGAGAGAATCATTGATTGGCTGCCTCCTGCACACCACCCACCAGGGATCAAGCCCACAACCCAGGCATGTGCCCTGACCAAAAATCAAACTGTGACCTCCTGGTTCATAGGTTGATGCTCAACCATTGAGCCATACCAGCTGGGTTCCTTACAGTTTTGTTTTTCACTTCCCTAATGACTAGTGATGTTGGTCATCTTATCATGTGCTTTTTGGACATTTGTATATCTTTGGAGAAATGTCTAAGTCCTTTGCTATTTTTTAAATAGGTTATTTGTTTATTTGTTGTTGGGTTGTAGGAGTTCTTTATATATTCTGGACATTGATCCTTTATCAGATTTATGATTTGCCTATATTTTCTCCAATTCCTTGGGTTGCCTTCTCTCTCTGTTGATAGTGTCCTCTGATGTACAAAAGTTTTTATTTTTTATGAAGTCCAGTTTCTCAATATTTTCTTTTGTTACTTGTGTTTTTGCTGTCATATCCAGTAAATCACTGCCAAATCTAATATCATAAAGCGTTTCTCCTATATTATCTTCTGAGAGTTTTATATTTTTAGCTCTTACATTTAGGTCTTTAGTTCATTTTGAGTTACTTTTTGTGTATGGTATCAGATAAGAGGTCCAACTTCATTTTTTAAATGTTGGTATTTAGTTTTTCCAGTACTACTTGTTGAAGACTGTCCTTCCCCATTAAATGGACTTAGCACCATCTCTGAGAATCATTTGACCATTAATATGAGAGGTTCTCCATTGTATTCCATTGGTTTATATTTCTGTCTTTAAAGCAGTGCCATATTGTTTTAATTACTATAGATTTGAAATCAATAATTTTGTTCTTATTAAAAATTGTTTTCACTATTTGTGGCCCCTTGAAATACCATATGAATTTTAGGATAGCTTTTCCTATTTCTGCAAAAATTGTCATTGGGATTTTGGTAGAGATTATATTGAACCTATAGATCACTTTGGGTAATATTAACATCTTAACAATATTAGGTGTTCAATCCATGAACATGGGATGCTTTACATTTGTTTGTGTCTTTAATTTCTCTCAGCAACATTCTGTAGTTTTCAGCGTACAACTTTTTTGCCTCAGCAAATGTTTTAAATTTTGAGATAATACAGTTTGTCAAATTTTTTCTCTCATGGATCATGGTTTATTTTTCACATGCCTAAGAACTCTTTCTAATACCAGATTATGAAAAATATTTTTCCTTTGTTTTCTTCTGACAGTTTTATAGTTGTATATTTTACATTTAGATCTATGATTCATTTTGACTTTGTATAAGGTGTGAGGGTTAGGTTGAGCTTTACTTTTTTGCCTATCTATGTCCAATTGTTCTAGCGCTAATTGCTGAAAAGAGTATTCTTTTTCCATTTACTTGCCTTTGCATTTTTACCAGAAATCTGGCTATATGTTAGTATTAATAATGAGCATCATAATTAATGGTGGAAAATTGAAAAAAATTCCCCCAATATCAGGAATAAGGCAAGAATGTCCACTCTCACCACTTCCATTCACAGTGGAATGAAATTAGAAATCAATAATAGAAGGACATTGCCCTGGCCACTAAGGCTCAGTTAGTTGAAGCATCATCCTGTACACCAAAAGATTGCAGGTTCGATCCCTGGTTGCGATGCATACAGGAGGCAACCAATCAGTGTTTCTCCCTCTCCTTCTCTCTCTCCCTTCCTCTCTCTCTAAAATCAATAATAAAAAATAATAATAGAAGGAAATTAAGAAATCTAAAAATATGCGGCAATTAAATAACACTACTGAATAAGCAGTTGATCAATAAAGTCACAAAGGGTATTAGAAAATACTTTGAAATGAGTAAAAACAAACTTAACATACCATAACTTATGAAATGCAGTAAAAGCAGTATTTTAAGGGGATATTTAAAAGGTGAAAATGCCCATATTAGTAAAAAAGAAAGTTCTCAAATTACTAACCAAAACTTCTATCTTAAGAAGCTATAAAAATTTGGCCAAACCCATAAAAATGTACAACACCAAGAGTGAACCATAATTCAAATTATAGGCTGGGTAAATTATGATGTGCCAGTGTAGGTTCATTATTTGTAACAAATATACCACTCTATTGGGAGATATTGATAATAGGTGAGGCTATGCATGTGTAGGTAGGGACAGGGGACTGTGGGGAATTTCTGTACCTTCCCTTCAATTTTGCTGCTAACCAATAACTTCTCTAAGAAAATAAAGTCTTAATAAAATAAAAAATAAACCACAAGAAGAAGAGCAAACTAAACTCATATCAAACTAAAGGAAAGAAATAATAAAGTTTAGAGGCAAAATAAATGAAATAGAGAATTGAAAAAATAGAGAAAACCAACAAACCAAAAGTTGTGGGTTTTTTTTGGAAAAAGCAACAAAATTCACATTTCTTAAGCTAAACTTACCAAGGAAAAATGAGAGAATACTCAAAATTCTTATACCCTGCTCTCTTTGATTCTTTTTTTCATTGAATAGCTTTGTCCATCATTTTACTTTCAACCTTTTAAAAAATTCTAAATTGTAGACAGCAAATAGTTAGATTATGTTTCTTTTTTGGATTGTTTCCTAGGTAGGATATTGTTCAGTTGAGTAGAGTGTTTACTTCATTTATATTTAACTAGAGGCCCGTTGCACGAAGAGATTCGTGCAATAGCCTTCCTTCCCCTGGCTGCCGGCACCGGTTTTCCTCCAGCAC